CTACTGTGTTTAAATTGTATCATATTTGCTTATTGTTCTATCTTTATTGAACAGATTGTAAATTAAATAAAATGTAAAAAAAAAAAATTAATTAATTAATGTTTGTTGATACTGAACAATATTTTTCGTAGTTGTCAGCTGATATATGTTTCAATTTGTTAATATCGATATATCGAGAAAAAAATCATTGATGATAATGAATGTTCCCTTTAAGGGGAGCACTTGGCCAAAAATATGAAAAATATTAAATTTATTTATTTATTTTTTATTTAAAAGAATGGACTTTTCTGAATAAAATGGCGTTTATTTTATTACGATATCTCAATTAAAAGTGCTAAAAATAATTTTTTTTTTACAAATTTATGCAGGGTCGATTTTTGTGCTCAAGGGCCCTCAAGGGTCGTTGCAGTGGCTCTTTTATTGTTCGTTTTCCGAAAATCGATATTTTCAAACTTTATGTACCTTTTTCTAAAAACCACTTATGCCATTTCCTTGAAATTTTTCCCCCAAGTACATCTATATGAAATGTATAAATGTAAGTAAAATTAATGTCATAAGTCATATAATAATAAATTTAAAAATTAAAGAAATATAAAAAATAATACTTTTTTTGGACGTTTCTATGGATACAAAAAAAATTACTTCTAATATTTAATGGGTAACTAGTTTACTTCTATTTGTGTAACAAAGTATAAGGTTTAAAGATTTAAAAAAATCATAATGATATCTCATATAGTTTTTGAGAAAAAGGTACTTTTGTTAACATGGTTGGGTATAGGGCCAAGTGCTCCCCTTAACAGGGAAAGTACCGACCAACTTGTCGAAAAGGAAACGTGGAGGCTACGAGTGGAAGGTTAGTAAATTATTTCTTATTTCATTATTTAAAGGCTGTTTTTATATATCCAAGTGATTTTCACAGATTAAAGATGAGAAAACATATTCCAGGTATTAGCTTGAATATTAATAATTAGAGTTTTATAACCCAAACAATTTGAGTGTGACAAAAATGGCACATTGTCAAAGATCCAGGGAACCACGAAAATTTGAGTGCGTGCCAGAAATGGCACATTACCAAAGATGCAGAGAGCCACCGAATTTTCTTGGGCGTGCCAAAAATGGCACATTGCCAAGGATGTAGTAATTTTTTTGAATTTATTGCATGTGGCAAAAGTGGCACACTGCTAAAGATACAGTCAAAGGTATTTATATAATTAATTATTGAACTGTATTTTTCATACCATGAATAAAGATTATGCAATCGAAGCACCCGACTGCTGACAGAGACAGAGGCATGTCCTCAGAACTGAGTTTCATGGGTCACATGGCTGTTAAATAGAGAAAAATATACTCTGTCAGCAGGTACAGTGCAGATTTTACAATATTGAGATTTGAAGGTTGATTGTATATTAAATCCATACTCATTAAATCCATCATTAAATCCATACTCGTTATTAGTGGAAGGAAACGCCTTTTTCCTTTCACCATGATCCATACTCCCGGCTGCCGTCAAAGAACTAGAACCAAGGACGTTTGAAAATAAAATTGGGACTTGGCTTAAAAACAATCCCTTCTACACACTTAATGAGTATCTAGAAGCCGACTACTCCTCAATAAAATGAAGTGACCTGCCGCCAAATTTAAATCAAGATCTAAGAATTTAATTTCTCAAGTTTTTTTTTGCTGTAAATATATGTTTTGTTTAGTAATAGTATTGACGCCATCTATCCAGTTATACTGGTCAACGATGAAGAGAAAAGTATGAAGTATGAAGTAAGTATGAAGTATGTATGAAGTAAGTAAGTAAGTATACTACAGTAGTATGAAAGAACGAAGAACGGGCTTCATGCATAAATAACAGATCTGCTCCAGTTTTAACCGAAAAAAGCATCAAATTTGTGATATTTTTTACTTTGACAGCTGAGGTGTTCTCGAGTTCCTGTTGTTTGGGTTTCGTTGTTTTGTTTTTTTGTTGTGTTGTGTTTGTGTGGTGTGTGGTGTGTAGTGGACGTGGATAGGATAGGTTATGCTCTACTTTGTCCGTCCCTTTCCCCGTTTATGCAGAAGAACGAATAAGAATAATCATCATAATTAGGCCTACTTCATTATATTATAGTAAGTTACCTACTCTAATTTGAGTTACTAAACTTTGATCCTATATTTATCCAACCATAATGAATATTTTGTTTGTAGGCTATGCAACATCTGAACGTATGCTAATTGCTTTAACAAATTTTGATAAATTTAGACTGGGATTTCGCTCATGCTTAGCCTATGCAAACTAACAAGGGAGGTACATAGGGAATAGTACATAGGGAGGTAGGTACTATTAACAGTAGGCTACATGTCTCCTCTGTACCTTAATTTTCTGTGTACTAACTTATTATTAGGCTAACTAAACTAGTTCTGCCAAAAATACTTTTGACTTGTGTGAACCTGGCAATAACTCGGCAATAAGTAGTGCACGCGCCATAACAAATATATTGCTGGCCGTTTTGGAGAAAATACGTCCGCGATCCATATTACTTTTACCATAGATAAAACATACTCCCTTAGTAGATTAGTCATCCTAATGGAACAGCTGAAGCCAATTTTATTGTTAGTTCTGTACGTCCAACTATAGAGGTTATGTTTTGTTTACAATTTGTTTCTTGTTATTGCAGTCATTTAAAACCTTGTTTAACCTAATAAAACGATATAATCATAAGCAATAACTGGTCTCCTAGTTATATAACCAAATAGTAAAGCACAAATCATGAAAATAGCCCTAAAATAATAGAAACAAAATGTTGTCTACACTAGCGATCAGTGTGGACGGACATGAACTAGACGCAAAAAACAAGCTTCAAAATTTACAATGGGATGAGGAGTCTACTTGTGTTGCTTAGTCTATGCTTTTACCAATGATGCCAACAGATAGAGGACACTTTAACGGACACGACAGTATCAACATTATGTACCTGGGGAGTAAGTTAGGTGGGGTAAAATCAGCAATAAGTTGTGCGCGCGCCCGCTAAAATCTATTGCTGGCCGTTTTGCGGCAAAATACGTCCGCGATCCATATTACCGATGATGTCAACAGATAGAGGACACTTTAACGGACACGACGGTATGAACATCATAACTTAACGAAGTGCTGCCATTGACATTGGGTACTTAGGGCTGACAAGGATCAAGAAGTAGTTTGACCAGCAGGGTACGAGAGGTTTGAGAGCCTTCCCTGCAAAAGGGAGGAATTTGGAAAATTTTAATTAAAAATTAATTACTTGTAGCCTACTGTTTTTCTTTTATTTACCTACTTATAATTAACTTACATTTGTTCATTTATTTATCATTTTGAAATACCGGTATCCATCAAAATCTTAGGTAGGCCTGGAAAACCCTCTCTAGCTGTCCCTGTTAGAGCTAAAGTTACATTAGTTGGCCCAGGCCTACTTCATAAATGTAAAAACTTTTCAGCAAAGAAATAACATATGCACTTAAATTGAAGACTAAGTTTTGAAAATATTATTTTCACAGATGCCTAATCGTAAACTTAACATGGCGGCTGCCTCAACATATGTTGTGTCCGAGGAGGCTCTTCGGCGAGCTTCAATAGCCAATCGACTTTCCGAAAGCCTACCATGGGCAAATACATTCCTACTCGTAGGAATGCTTGGTAAGTTGCAGGAAAGATATAAATGAAACGTCAAACTCATTTACAATTTGTGAGTAGGGACAGTTGTAACGTGTTGGCCATAAACTAATAACCAGAATAACTGTGTGTAAATTGCAACATAATAACAGCAATAACACCATAGTCTTATTACTTCCGTAACATGAGGATAGTATTTGTATTATTTCACCAACTGTTGGTTTGAATAATCACAACATCCTGTATTTCTCATAATTTTGAATAATGCCACAATATTTCCACAGAACACATGAAACAATTTTACTTTTAGATAAGTTCAAATATATTAAGCCTCATTCGGAGAACACTTGTGCGCTAAAAAACGTTTAGGCCTACATTCTCCCCTACTGTGTTAAATATGTAAACATAAAAAGTAAATACCTTTATCAAAGTAAAACTTTTATATTCATACACGTAATAAAAATAACTAATTAAGATATTTATCGCATATATTGTATATATTTTAATTTATTGCAATTACTCGTTAGAGCAATTTCAATACAACGAGATGTGCGTCATCAACATCCTCCCCAAACTGGAGGATGTTAGGTAGACGCCTGGGAGAAGTAGGAAGAGGAGGTGCGAGAGGAGGGCCTAGAAGAGAGCGGCGCAGAGGAGGGCGCGAAATACATGAGAATAGAGAGCTAGAAAGAAGGGCGGAGCGCATAGTACAGAGGGGAAGACAAGAAGAGAGAAGGGCGGAGCGGAATGCACATCAGAGAGGAAGAGAGAGAAGGAGGACGTGCTGAGGACCAAAGGCAAAATGAACAGTAAGTTAACACATTACCTAAACATTAATATAAAACATCCAGGAGTGACTGTAAAAAAACCCAAAATCAACTTTAAACATGAATTAAGTTTTTAGTAAAGAAATTCCCCTTTAAATTTTTTCTAATATTGCCATAGAAAAATTTAAGCTTTCAATTTTTTGTCAATCGTAGGCTATTCAAATTAAGTTCCATCATCAAATCTGCAAACCTTGTCACAATCTACTGGTAATTTAACTTGTGGATAAATTATAATCAATTAAACAATAATAAAAAATTTACTCAATTGATTGTGTTCAAGGACACATACTATACAAGTCTAATATATACTAAATTTTATACTGTACTAGATGGATTTATCTTTCATATTAGAGAATTTTTGTATGACAGTTTTGTATTTGTTTGATCTAGACCGTAGATTGACTTGTTCAAATGTATGGCCATCAATTTCTATTGGTTCTTCAGTATTATCCAGGTTTCTTGAAAAGTGCATGTACTTAGTTTTTTGAATCGTTTGTTTTTGGCCTACTTTTTCTGTTTCTTTCATAAATACTTTTTTAAATACTACTTTTTATGTGATTATAACCACATCATCTGCAAAGGCTAAGATGTTTATTTTGGTTCCTATTTTCACTCCTATGTTCTTCTCTGCTACCTTCTGTAGAGTTTCTTCAATGGCAAAATTAAATAGGATCGGTGATAGCCCATCTCCTTGTCTGACACCAGAGTTTACTTCAAAGGGGTTGCAGTTGTGGCCATCAATTCTAACTGAACACTTAGATCCTGAAATACTCATTTTAATTAAGGCTATAATTTTATTCGGTAAGCCGAATTTTCTTAGCTGTGCCCATAATTTGTCCCTTCTTATGCTGTCGTAAGCCTTTGAAAGTCAATAAATAGGCCTAAGGCATAAAATTCTTTATTGAACTCCCAATAATTGGCTACTATTTCTTTTAAGATAAATATTTGGTCAGTTGTCGATCTACTCTTCCCCTAAACCCCGCTTGATGCTCACCTATCAACTCGTGTTACGAGTATTGTTCTAGACGCTTTAAAATAATTTTTGAGATAACTTTGTATGGGATACTAAGCAGTGAGATTCCCCTATAGTTATCACAAACTTCTTTCTCACCCTTTTTATGAATAGGGATAATGACTGCTTCCTGCCACTCCATTGGCATTTCTTCTTGTTCCCATATTTTTGAAATTAAATTATACAGCTTTTCTGCTATTATGTTTCCTACTCTCTTTAATATATCTCTGCTGTTATTTAATCTCTTCCAGGAGCTTTGTCATTTTTCAGGGACTTAATTGTATATTGTACTTCCCCTGAGACTGGAATCCCTTACTCTATCACTAGACCAGCTCGCTCCTCACCGTCCACCACAGTGTGGATCCTTTCTTTTAAGATGGTAAAAATGAAGGGTAGGTATTTGTTTGTTAGGAGCTAGGCCTATATTTTGAGATGTAACTTATGGTGAACTAAAAAAAAAAAAACTTGTGTATGGCTTGTAGCTGAATAATCATATAATACCATACCCGGGTGTATGAAAAATGGGTATTTACCCGCAGTTACAAATACCCTGGTATTTTACATCTCTAGTCATTGCCATGTTAATCTTTCGTATATCGACCTTTTGTAGGTTCAATGAACAAAGTATGGAGTTGACTGGGTCACTTCGAAATTGTAAGAAAAAGCGAAGGTGAGATGCTGGATCTCTTTGTACAGCATGATGTTCTCAGCAATGTCCGATAAGGTGCGAGAAATGTGGGCTGGAATTTTGCTCAACCGGGAAATGTTGCTTTCCAGTGCGACCGCGTGAGCATTCAACTCTTCAAGCAAAAGAGGCCTACAAGTTGCAGCTGGAAGCGTTACGGCGTTGAAGTACACGTTCCTCGCCAAGACTCTTATTTCGCCGAGGACTATCATGGAACTAGTTGCCTCCTATCTGTGGCTGAATCCCTGTGACAGCTAGCCTACATCACGAAAAACTGCGGGGCTGCTGACCACACCAAAACAGATTGGTTCTCGTTACATTGAGAAGTCCTTGTGAACCAGGCCAACTATAGACATCCCAAGAACAAAACAACCAGCGCAGAAACGAAAAGATCACATGGTTCGCGCAGGTAGGTGTGGAGTACCATTCAAACCTGCGAGGCTCGAAACGGCCCAGGGTTCTTTTGTTTCTGGTATTACTATAGTGCTTGAAGCAACCTCGGTGGGCCCAGCATGGTTGTAAAAATCAAAGAGGCCAAGTTTTGTTCAAGGAAGTACAACCGTGGCCATAGGGTAGAGGGCCAGTGAGTCTTCAGTGGCATGGAACAAGAATCCAGGTATTCATTCTTGGTGCCTGTGGATACAATGCTGATATCCAAGCTTTGAAATTAAGGAAGTGGATTTTACCACAAACCACTAAATACAATAAAAAAATAGGGCTGCCGCTTCCCTCTATCCCCCCATCTTCCAGTATCCATACACCTCATCAGTGAGCAAAAATTTCCCTTAAGCGTTTGAATTGAAATTACTTACCGGTAATAATCCCACATGTCATATGTCTGTAATGTAAATATTTACCACTGAAATTTTTACAAGCATCAATCTTTACCTGCTAAAACAGGTCACCTATGTTATAATCGTAATTTTTTTTTTTTTTAACACCATTGATGAACATAAAATACAAACAAACCTACATCCTGAGCAGAAAACACCGCAACACCATTTTTTTGTCCGAAGCACTACTCCCAAAAAGAGACACAAGCTGAACATAGAATAAAAAACCCAGACACTCTGGAACTCAGCTCTCAGGAACACCAAACGCTTAGCAACCAAAACACCATAAAAATAGCTCATCAAAATATAAAGTGGCTAACTAATAAACTAAATAGACTTAACCATTTCCTCTACAATGAAAACCCGGACCTGTTAAAAATAACTGAACATGGACTATGAAAGGAAAACCTTGCTACAACCTGCATTGAGGGCTACTCACTTATTGGGGGATTCATAAGAAAAGACCACATCAGAGGAGGAGTTGCTGGATACGTGAAGAAAGGCCAGGAAAAGGAAACCCGATCTTGAACGCACTAAAAATGTTACGAAGGGCCTCAGGCCAAATCAGATCGGTTCAAACTCGGGTTGCATGCAGTCACCTCACAACAGTTAAGACATCATGAACTACATACATACAACACAAGACATGCCACAAATTTCACCCTTCCACTACACCGCCTAACGTTTTTCGAGAAGAAACCTTCATACAAAGGAGCGCTCTTCATCAACCACCTACCCGACCATCTAAGAAGCCAGCCACCCCAACGTTTCAAGAACCAGCTAACGGAATGGCGCCAAGAAAGACCCTACTACTCAGAATCAGAATTCCTGAACACCTGACACAGCACCGCCGCCTACGAGAGCTCTCTCTGGACATCATCAAAATGTTAACTTTGTGTTATCACATATTACATAACTATATAAAAAAAATCTTGAGAATTCTATAACTTTGACAATCTAAAATCTTTTGTTTTGACGCATGTACTATTCTCCCACGAATATGTAAAAAATAACATTGTCTATTGGCTATTGTCTATTGACAATATTATTGTTTTAATCATAGTAAATGGCTGGCCTTAAACTTTTTTTTATTTTTGATTAAAGTTAAACGTTAATTAAATTTGATTTTGGCCATATACACGTCATGTTTGCCCCCAAAATTACAGTTTTCTGACAGTTTCTTATAGCCTAACAAAAGTTATAGTATAAACTCTATAAAAATATAGCTAATTTCCAAATCATCTTTACTACATCTTTACTTTTTCTAAACATCTGATCTAAAAAATGTATTAATAGCTCTTTAAAAACATTACTAGTTATGTTTGACAAAACTAATTAGGTTAGGCTGATCCATGTTTTACATGTTTGGCACAATCAATCAGTAGGTAATTTCAACCGGATATTAGGTTATAAATGTACCATTACCTGGCTTTATACCATTGGCTTTATTTATGATTGGAATGTGAAGTGAATCTTTACTGTATACATGCTGTGTTGTAGCTATGGTATTATTGATTTAACCTGAGGTGCCAAGTTATCACAAGCTGTGTGGGTTGTGGGGGCCTCTTCTATATATCTTACTTATTTCTAGAAGAAATTAAGAGTAAGTACTGGTAGCACTAAAACACATTCTCTGTAGTTTGCTAAAGATATAATTTACCTAGTTTTATTATAGCCTACTTTTATAACTTGCACAAAACTTCAAAGTTTGTAGGCCTAACTGATAACAATTTTTATCAATTTTTAAAATTTTTTATCTTGTTTTCATTGTGTTATAGGTATAGTTTATTTAGTTTTATGGATTAAGTGATTATTCTTCAAAAAAAATAATTTCTCAAGTGCAGCAAAGATAAACAATACCTAATTATATTAACCCAGATTCCTATTGAATATTCCATGTAAACAAAATTTAATAATTTTCCTACCGAGGGTATAAACTTTCCCCAGCTAACGAGGCAAGTACATTTTCTGCTTCTCATTCATAAGAGGAACAAGGGGGCTATGGTGGGGCTAGAGCATATAGACAAATTAGCATACAAAGCTCTTGAGTGCTTTCAACAACGTTTTACATATCTGAATTATCTCTTTTAGTTTTTAAAACCAACTTTTAGTATTTTAACCCAAAGCTGAGTGAAGGATGGGTACAGAATGGAGTGAGATGCTTGTTCTTACTGACTAAGACTATGTCTCATTATTGCTTGACTGTGACGTTCTTAGTGTGTTTTTGATTTGAAAATCTGGATTGCCTCAAAGTAAAAGAAGAAAGTGAAATGATGAATCAGCCAGTTAGCTTTTTAGGACGTTTTGATGGTACTGTTTTACCATCTAAAATTAAATGGTTTTCCCAACTCCTATTATTAGGCTAATGTGCTGTCTTTAATCATTATTTAATTCAACAGTTTTGTCGCCGAACTGTTAAAAATGAATCGTCTTATTGAAACCAAGAATGTTTTGAAGAATATAGCCAAGGACATTGTAACAAAATGTGCAGCTAAAGGCCAGACCATCAGTTCAGCATGTGCTTTAAGAATTGTAAGTCAACATTTTATAGTATGATGCTATTTTTAAATATGATAAGTTGAGAACGATAACCCAAAGTATATTCAACTACTTTGAAGTAATTTACCAATAGCTTTATATAGCTATGACTATAGATAGATTTAACATAGGTAGGCTACTCACTTAATAGCTGAAGACAATTTTATTGTTAGTTCCGTCCGGTGTACTAGGTGTCGTGTTTTGTTTAAAATTTTTTTCTTGTAATTTCAATAATTTAAAACCTCCTTTAGACAAATAAAACATACCAATCATTAACAATAGACTAACTCATCCTCTAGTTTATATAGGCCTAACCAAAGACGAAAGCACACATTATGAAATTAACCTTACTAATTATATTTTTTTTAATTTCAACACTAGTGGATCAGTATCACTAGCAAACACGAAAAACGAGCTTCAAAATTTACAATGAAGGTCTACTTGTCATCACAAGTTTGCTGTTGTAAATGTACACGTCTAGGTCTGGATTATGTGTAGTTATTCTGTTCACTCTATTCTTTTGCTGTCAAGAAGCTTTTTTTATGTTTGATAAATATAAGCATAGACAAATAGAATAAATTAGACTGTCAAAGAAAGGTTCCCCGATGTCCCGCTAGAGTGCTCAGTGTTCGATTCGCTGCCGTCGTCCTACTCTTTGCCGTATGCTACCAGCAGACTGCAGCGATGTGCGCCGTAACTACACGGCACTCCTAGTGGTAGACGCCAAAACTTATGATAACCGCAGCACTGCTGTCGGTCTATATTTAACTATTTTTGTCTATGATATAAGCTACTGGATGAGTGTTTATTTTATACTATTTGGAAGCTACTCATTTTTAAACCTCATTTATTTATTAATTATTTCAGTGTTAGAATCCTGTTTCGGTTGTCAGTTTAAATATTCTTAGATAATTCTCATATATGTTGCTTTATATATAATAGCCTAAGATATTATCATGGGTTTAAACACCATCTTCACATTCTTTATGGCATGTTAAACAATCTTCGTGCAAGTGATTTTACCAGGCCTTCTGGAGTTGTCAGCTTTATCGCTTTATCAAATGCTGGCTTACTGGTTTTCTTACAAAGCCTGGTTTCTTTAAACAAGGATTTGTAACTTATAAAATAACTAAAGGTGTATGCAAGTTGTTAGTAAAAGCATATTAAATCATCTCCTTTCCTATTTTAGAAATTTAGTACCCCCAATATTATGGGAAATTAAAATTTGTATTTCAGATGAAGATTACTATTCAAAATCCCGAATATGACTTTGGCTCAGATATGATGACCCGGCCGCAGATCCAGCAGTTGGTGGCAACATGTGTGGCCAAGATGACTGACAGAGTTGGTTCTTCCTCTCGTACCATAGAGATGCAGGTTTACTTCAGTTCTAATTATACAACCAGAGGTACGCTTTCTATGGATCGTTTATGTTTTTCAACAAAAGCTACGATGGTTATCTGAACTGTTTAATGTTTGGAAAGTAACCAAATATCCTAGTACAGTTGTTCTAATATACACGTTGGTACCCTTATGCGGGAGCAAGTGAGATCGGTCACAAAAAAATAAAATAAAATAAACCTAATTTTCCCTACAGGGTCAGTTCTTGCACATAGCAACTGGCAAGTTGCAAATCTTTTGTTTGTTAACAGTTGGAGATATTCTTAATTTAGCATCAGCTAACATTCTTAACTTAAAACTTAGGATGTAAAAAATCGGAATATTTAAAAAAGTATTTTAATAACGTTTTTTAGGTGAAAATTTAACTACGTTTGGATATACTTGGGTCTGGATTCTCGCACTTGCAAAACATTATGTTATTTTAACTTCTAGCTGTGGTGTTAAATATTAATAAAATGATAGCTATCTACATTCACAATTTTAAAAAAGTGTGGCGAGAGGTGAACCAATAAAGTGGAAATCCACGGTTATAAAACTAGTAGGGTGGCAACCTCCAAGTAAATTACCTTTTCATATATAAATCATCATATTAACCTTTTCCTTTTGCCTAATTAATTAATTACAAAGAGTCTCAAAAGTAACTTTAGAGAGCTACATATTTGAATCCTCAATGCCACTGGATTAAAAAGAAAAGATCAAACATCTATTCTGTTTGTAAGACAAACAAAATTTAAGTGCTTCATTCAAGGAATTGGAGTCAAGGTTCGAGTCATTGAAGTCATACTGTATTATTTAAAATACCAATTGTTAGATAGCGAGAAGAAAACTCTGATATAGTTGTGTAAAATTCATTGTCTAAAGTTAATTTTTGCTGACGGTGGGGAAGGATTTGAGGGATTATACATTTTTTTATTATTACGTGTATGGCAAAAACAAGTTTTCACGACTTTTGGGTCCTGGAATCTGATCCCGTCCTCAGGTGAGAAAGTATCTAAAACATAACTAAACAAACCTAGCTAAAGCTGGAAAATCACTCTTTATAACCATAGAAAACTGGTTACTAGCCAGACCAATATTCTTATTGTTACTATGAGTTGTTTACAATGTTTTGTTTTATAATGGTACAGAGTATTGATAAGCCAGCCGCCCTTACAACATCATCAGTCATTTGAGCTTAATTTAAATCAATGAACCAGTATAATTTGTACTGTATTCAGTCTATTTCCAGACGAGATTGTAGTGGATCACAGACACAATGTTCTGAGTCGGACTGAGCCTCTCATTGCTGAGATCAAGGATACAGGACTGGTAACAGGGGATGACTTGAAGAATCTTTACCGCAAGTTAGTCATTGCTATAACACTCTTGTCTGGCCTGGGCAACCCATCGGCTACATCTGTACTCAAGGAGGCAACTGGTACGTGGAGACTTTATTTATACAGGGTGTCCCAGACCACCCGGCCGGCTTCTCTAGCTCCAATATGAAAGCAAATAGAAACCTAATTGCAACTGGTTGAAGAGCTGTAGGAAATTAGTGTATTTTAATGTTTTATTAGAGTTTTTGCTGTTGTAAATGTAAATGTCTAGGTCTGGATTAAACTAATTACTAATTAGGTAAAAAAAAATTGTTGGACGGTAGAAAGATTAATAAAGGAAAGAACATAATTGCAAATTTCTTAGTTATTTTTCAATTCCATATCTCTAATAAAGTTTTGAAAATCTGCCCTTTGGCGTGCTTTTTTGGGTTTAAAAATAATTTAGCTTAATTCATTGGGGTCAAAATAGCGGGTTCCAGTTGCAATTAGGTTTCTATTTGCTTGCATATTGGAGCTATAGAAGCCGGCCGGGTGGTCTGAGACACCCTGTATATAAAAAATATTCAAAGAGACCAATAAAAAAAATATTCATAGAAATATTAGCTTTCCAGCGCTAGTTTTGTACTTGTTTTTGCATTGTTCCAATTTATATACAGAATGTCCCAAAAGTCCCGGACCGGTTTAGTATTTTCTAAACGAGAACAGATAAATCAATAAGATTTGGTACATTAACACCACGCCAAAAAATCTACTTTTTTAAGGAAATATCAATTTGCTGTCACATCATGGGGACGTCCCGCAAGGAGTCAGAAGGAAATCTTAAACAGAAGCATAGGTTGACATGTACATCAAATTAAAGGTCTTTACTAGCAGAATACAATGCCGCAAATTTGAACTCAAACGGACAACCGAGTCAAGAATGACATTGGTTCAAAGATTCTTTTAATTTACATTGCTATTATACGCTTACTCCTCGGGGGGCACAGCCCTAGGAATCGTAAAAAATTGTTAACGTAAGCATAGGTCGATATGCACATCAAATTAAAGGTATTCACTAGTAGATTACAATGTCGTAAATTCAAGCTCAAAAGAACGCCTGAGTAAAAAATGGCAGTCGTTCAAAGATTCAAAATGGCAGATTCAAGAAATCTTTGAACGGCTGCCATTTTTTATTCAGTTATCCGTTTGAGTTCAAATTTGCGGCATTATATTCTGCTAGTAAAGGTCTTTAATTTGATGTGCATATCAACCTATGCTTCTATTTAAAATTTCCTTCTGACTCCTTACGGGACGTCCCCATGATGTGACAGAAAATTGACATTTCCTTAAAAAAGTAGATTTTTAGGTGTGGTGTTGATGTACCAAATCTTATTGATTTATCTGTTGTCGTTTAGAAAATATTAAACCGGTCCGGGACTTTTGGGACAGTCTGTATATTAATCAATCATATTTATTAGCTTTTGATCATATAAATAGTTACTAAGGTCCATAATTCAATAGAGTATGTTCCTTTAAAATGTATAGTGTAGGGCCCCTTCCACAAGTGCTGATAATACATAGTATGTGGTATATACTATCTTGACTTTAATCTATTGTATAGTGTTTATGTATATGTATTTGTATATTGTTATTGTATCTTGACTTTTAGTCGGGGTATTATACGGATCTAACATTTAAAAAATAACTTAGCGCATGCTATTATATTAATTTGGACAAACTTGTATTGATAAGTGAAATAACTTGCTTGTGGACTAGTAAAATACTCTTGGGGCAAGTGTCTGTTGAAAACCAAACTAAATTTAAATGTAATTTATTAACAACTTTTGTATTTCCTATTCTTATCATGCCAATAATAGCTCCCCCACCCTTCCACCATGGTCAAGAATCAAAATAATTTATTCTTACTAGTCTAGAGACAAGGTTTAATGGTCCAATCTATAACTATAAAAGAGCCAGTAGTTGCTAGTAAGTGGTCAAATGACAGGGCCGGACTTAGGACTTCAGGGGCCCCAGGCAAATTTTCCAATGGGGCCCTAGGATTTCAGTTTGGGGGGGGGTCCTCTGGGGGAATTTGGGGGGAAAACTTCTAAATTTAGGCTTCAAATAGAGCAATTTAAGGCCAAATAAGCAATAAGTTCTATATCGAAAATCGTTCTTAAAATATAACTATTTTAACATATTTTTATATACAGCATCTTTTAATTTTATACACAAAAAATAAAAATGTTTGAAACCTAATCTTTTGCATTCACTATTTAAACAGACCCTGACAAAATGTTTCAAATTGCTTTGTAGTACAGTAGAGTCCCGCAAACCCGGCGTAATGTGGACTGTAAGGGTGCCGAGTTTGTGAAATGCCGGGTTATCGGGAACTAGGGTTAAAAATAAGAACAATACAATTTTTAAGCGTTTTAACCGCCGTTTTTTATTTTTACAGTATTTATATTACAGTATTAAGTCATAAGAAATAAAAAGAATGTATTCTGTAGGCCTATACATATTGTACAGTATATATTACGTACTTTTATAGACAAGATAAATAAGTACAGTACACGCCAGGAAAACTCAGTACAGTTCAAATAAAAACCTAATTCATTTTTTGCAGAAAAAGTTTTTAATGCTCATTTGTTTCTCACACTGAACTCTGCGCTTTGCTGCTATATCTCGAAGGCGGCAAAGACACAATATGTCCATTGGTGAAGCTCCTTGCTCCTCAAAATATCGTAAGGCCCCATCAACAGCTTTTAATCCTTCACTGTGGCTCATTTTTTGTACTTCTTGAGTGTCACATGCGTCTTTGTCTTCTGATTCGCTTTCTTCAGGCTGTTCCTTTTCTTTCACCATGGTGACAATTTCGTCATCGGAAAGAGCATTCTCCGTGGCATCTTGGTCCATCCATTCCTGTACATCCCCATCACTGAAGTTTTCACAGCCGGGAATCTTCTTTAATAGATCAACTAAAGCAGAATCTTCCTCCTTTGGGACATCAGTAAACGAATTTCCTGAATGATCCAGAAGTTTTTTCCAGGATCGCACTAATGTTATTGGCTCTAACTCATCCCAAGACTCAGCAACCCATCCAATAACATCCAGCAAATCAACCTTTTTAAGCCTATTCACTAGTTCTTGGCCTTCGTCAATCGCCGTCACTAGAGTTGATAGAAGTTTGCGCCGATATCTTTTTTTCATTGCGGCTAGAACACCTTGGTCCATAGGCTGACATAGTGCAGTCACATTTGGTGGTAAAAACATCGTTTTTATGTTGCCATCAACTAACTCTTCAGCATCAGGGTGTGAGGAAGCGTTGTCCAGAATCAAAATGGCTTTCCTTTCAAGATTCTTTGATTTTAAAAACGTTTCTACAGACGGAACGAACTGATTGTAAAACCAATTTTTGAAAATTGTTCCATCCATCCAGGCATTAGATTGGTTTGTGTACCAAACTGGAAGTTCATTTAAGTTTTGTATATTCTTGAAAGCACGAGGCTTTTTAGCTTTTCCAATAAAACAAAGCTTTAACTTATGCTCACCAGTTGCGTTGCTGCAGGCCATAATCGTAACTCTTTCTTTGCTTCTTTTGTACCCTGGAGCAGATTTCTCTTGTTTTGAAGCTAAGCTCTTCTCAGGTAACATACGAAAATTCAGTCCTGTCTCGTCACAGTTGTAAATTTGCTCACCAGACAGTCCTTCACTTTCAATAAGCTTTTGAAAGTTTTCCTTAAATTTCAGAACACTTTCATCGTTACCAAAAAGTTTTTCGCCACATATTGCTAGTTGCCTTACTCCATACCGTTTTTTCCATCGGTCTAGCCAGCCGATGCTAGCCACAAATGTTGCCTCTCCTTCTTTCTTTATTTTTTCATACAATTGAATAGCTTTTTCCTGCAGTATGGGTCCTGATATCGGTGTCCCTTTTTCTCTTTGCTGTCGAAACCATAAATATAGAGCTTCACTAACCTCATGAAATTCGCTTTCCTTCATGTTTTTCCTTTCTTTCAACGACTCAGTACACATTCTCTTTAAACACCAAGACTCAATTTCAGCTCTTTTCTTTTTCCAACCACCAATCGTACTTCTTCCAACTCCAAGATTCAATGCAATTTCATTTACACTTTCTCCTTTGTCCAGTCTTTTTAAAGCACTTAACTTTTGTTCCATAGATACATTAACTTGTTTTCTTTTTGCTGAAGTCGCCATTTTAAAATGAAAAACTACCGAACAAAAAACACACGTCGCATCGCCACCACTGTCACTGATCGACTGAACACGGAATGGCCGCGGGCCGCACACATCCGGTGGCAGGCGTGGGGGATGCGGAGTGGGGGATTAGACAACCAATAACGTAGTGGAGTGGGAGTGTGACGCGAGACATAGGAACGCCCCGCCCGACAGGGACAATGACCTTTAGCCGGTCTGCTTGCGCGGGGATGTTCCGTAGTGATGCGTCAAGAATGAGTTTGCTTGAGTACGGCATTTGTTCGCATTCAAATTCATGCCTTACTCACTCCATTCCAGCCAACATTAATCCAAAATATTATACTGTACTCATGTCGCGAACGACTTGGCTTGAGTCCATGTTTAACTCGGACTAAAAAATCAATAATTTTCTGAGCCAGGAGATGGCCGAGTTATCCGGACTGCCGGGTTATCGAGTGCCGAGTTTGCGGGACTCTACTGTACCAGTGACGGCATATTTGGTATGGTAGCATGGTAGGCTACCATAATATATTTGGATTAGAAGTATTGATATATTTTTGTTTATTAAGTATTTAAATTATTGATTATTGCCGTCGATTTGTATGATTTTTCAATATTGCTACAATATTGGTGTGATTATTTTATTTTGGATTAAAACTCTTTTTCTAATAATAAAAATCAAACCAATTTGAATTTTAAAATCTTTTGTTTTTTTGCCACGATTTAGCCACCTCATTAGAGTATTAGAGACATATAGCGTGCTTTTAAATTGTTGAAGTAGTAAACGTTGCTCATTCATGTGTATATAGTTTTAATGTATATTAACTTATTTAAATAACATTTTCTGTTTTCAATTAGCCTACGTATCAACACCAATAAAATTAAAATAGGCTTGGAACTAGGTTTTTTAACATTAAGATTCATTAACTCTAAAACACAACTGTTGGTTTGTAGAGTTTTTGTTTTTTTTCATAAAAAACCATAAAATATATATAAAATATGACTTATGTTTATTTTTATAATGGTTTTGGTACCTATGGCATTCTCGTTTTTATAATATGTTAAAGTCCTAGCATGAAAAGTACCATTGAGGACTTTCAAGTTTGAGTTTTTTATTGACAAGCAAAATCTTGCAATAAAAGTCTAATAAACACTTACAAGCTAACTATTTATATGAGTAACTGAAAGATGTTTAAATGGATCCAATATCGATTAATACAACACAAACATACAACATTACTCACTTCAGCTGTGTTTTTGTACTGTTAGTTTACAGAATTGCAATAAAATAACACAAAAGTAAGACAATTTCAACCAAAACTAAAAAATAACGTGACCACTAGTCTCAAAGAACAAACTATGGGAGTAAAGTGATTTAAATTGTTTTGGATAGGCAATAAGGCATTTTATGTGTGTGAGACAGACAGGATCCCTTAATATTACCTCATTATCATTTATTGTTGCAGCTGCTTCTGCTTATCGCTTGTTTACGATTTCAGTTGACAACGCTCGCCCACTCCCAATAAATGTAATTTTTTGTTAACATCAGACGACTCTAGTTGTTGTAAAGTGTCTAGATTTAAAAAGTCTTACTGGCGCTGTATGATTTTGACTCCAAAGACTAAATTGGATATCAAAATTTCGACACATAACTTAATTAATTGCTATTTTACAAAACCTTAAAATTGAACGGATAATATACTACTACCCCTTAAAATCCTGATTGGTATATACTTAGAAGTAAAAGAAAATAATAACATTTTTAATAAAACATAAACGGAGCAATGTTTTTATTTTTAAAAGTATTTGAACCCAATGGATTCAAATGGATTTAAATGGATTCACTGATCTCCATTTAACACAACACAATTTTACAAGTTACGTTATGTTGGGACAAGAGTTTTCATATTTATTGTATATTTGCCCCCTTCAACTCATTCGCTGCGGCCGTACGTTCGGGCGAGCGGCTTCATTGAAACTGAAACTTGTCCGTCACAGTCACAGCCTAGCACATATGCTCGTGTAAAACAGGCCTAAGCGTGGGGCCGAGTGCAACTCTGAGGAAAAGTCCCTTAGGATCAAGAATTTTGTTTCTAGTAATGCCTTAATGCACCTAACAATAACCTCAAAATATAGGATAACGAAAATAAAAATAAAGCTGTTACAAAAGAAGGCCATTTGGTAAGTGTCTGATTAATTTTCGAGGTTATTAATAAAAACTGCTGTGCAAAGGGGGCCCCTGTCGGGGCCCCCCCTTGGCCCGGGGGCCCCGGGCGCTCGCCCCCTCCGCCCATAGGTAAGTTCGGCCCTGTCAAATGATTTGAAGGTATTTCTTTTAAAAATTTTCATCCAATTGCTGTCAGTTTTCTGATATATCGTTGACTGTATTTTTCAGCTGCTCTCCATAGCGTCTTCCCCCTATCAGAACTGAATAGGTTCATCATGCTGTCAGATGAAGACAAGATGAAACAAATTATTGAACTGAAGCAGATTGTATCTGGTATAAGACTTTTCAATCGAGATTCACACAAGGGTGGAGAAGGCATTGATGATAGTATGTACTAAGTACCTATTTGATTGTACTAAATAGTAAATAGTTCATTTAAGTCTACTACTATTGTAGTTTTACCAAATAACCATATTAAAGGAATTACACACAAGTTATCAAATGCTTGTTAGGCCTAACAGCATTAAACATGTTTGTTAGCTCAAATTCAAATATAAACTACATTTCGTATTCAAGCCTATCTGGATTTTTTACAAGTTTTTTTAGAATAATTTTACTACAGTTTGTTTTTTATTTTTGTCGGCCTATGTTTACCTTGAATTTTCCCATCCACATAGTAGGCACTATTACACAAACCTATCCCATTGGGGTTGATAGTCCATCCATCTAACAACTGGGCCGCTGACTCACCAAACATTAGTTACATCTAGATAAGGTTGACGCATTTCACACAGTCTAGACATTGCTCATTGACACTGAACAGTTATAAACTAATATAAAACAAATAAATAAAACTGGAACCCCTAAAGGTTTGTGTTTTTTAGTGCCAAGTATTCTACAGCAAGCAGTAATGGCTACAAGAGATCTGCTGAATCAAGGGATACAAGACACCCAGGAACAAATAGACCAGATAACTGCTTGGCTTAATCATCTCTACCAGGAGAAGGTGATGGAAGATTCAGAGACAGTTCAAGTCAATGTCAACATCCCACCTACCCTTGCTGAGGAGGACCTCATCCTGCTCAAAGAGAATGCTGTACACTTAATGCAGTACCAGATTTATCTTAAGTAAGTCAACTTTTACTTGGTTTGTTTGTAGTTTACTCAGACCAGATAGTTTTTTTAGTAATTTTGAGATTGGCCTGTGTATAACTAAATATAATTGTTACAGGTAGGCCTATTTGCAATTGTTGACTTGGCAGAATCCATTGGTGCACAGTTATCCATTTTTAGGAGACATCCTTGCTTATCATAGGTTAGGCCGCCTTTTCAGGGTTGTAGCAAAGCTTGTCCCTTCACACATGGTGGTTGCAACCAAGTGGCTGCGGCCTTCTCAATAAGAAAAGTACTCGGTTTCATGTCGTATGATTTATTCATCAAGATGGAATAAAGTTTCTGGCATTTTTCCTCGCTGGATGCTTTTCCTTTCTTTTAACGAATTTCCCATACAGGGAATAAGCTATTACCGTAGGTCTCATGGTAAGACCTAGACCCGGGACCGATTTACTTTTTATTTTTGAGGTCCCCAGAGGCCAAAAGCACCATCCGTTCAAATTCATATACAGTAGAACTCCAATTATCCCCCACCTCAATATCTTCCCTGTAGCATCAAACCTAAGTACTCACTAAAACTAATATTATTTAAAGACGAAATAAATCTGAAAATTTTTAGGAAATATTTTAGTAGAAATCCAGCCGGGTAAATGGAAATTCGCTTAGTCTGCAGGTTTGCTGCGGCAGGGGTATTTTGGTTTACTAACATGAACATATTCAGTTGGACTACCTACTGTTATTAACAAACTTTCACTACTATCCAGAAATGTATTGCGCTATTTTTCCATATCGTTAACATTAACAAGCTATAAAACAAAATTAATGTGGACATCAGTAACAGACAGACTGGTGTACAGAGAAGGCAGTCAGATGACAAAACAAGCTGCGTGCGCATCCCTGAGAACTAGGTCGCAGCCACCTTATGTGAAGGGGCCAGGTATATTACAATGGCCTGCTATGAGTTGAGTCTTTGAAATAGCACGGTGGCAGCCACCAACCAGTGAGGAAGTTCTTTGGCAACCGGGTCGCTGCCACCGTGGTGGATCGCTGCTACCCCCTAGTGTGAAGGGCTCACTAAGACTCAATGCAATTTTACAGATCTAGTGGCTGATGGGTGGCTGCGACGCCCTGGCTGCGACCTAGTAAGAAGGTGGCCTTATATTTTATGTTGAAATTGTAAAAAGCATAAAATGTTAATCTCATGATTGTTAAAAGTGTTATATCTCACTTGAGTATGGCACGGCCGCCTTTAACTAAGCGAGCCTTTAAGCGAGAATTGGCAACGCCAAGCATCTACGTCCAGCTGTCTCACCATTACGGTGGTTTAGTGGTCCCGGTTGAAATATACTGAATTTTTACACGCTTACAATTGAGATTCAATTTTGAAATTTGGTACAGAGCTAGCGAATAAACCCTTTATACCAATTATAGTTTTAAAAATTAAAATTCCGTTTAGTAGATATAAATATTAAAATATTTAAATATAAAAATATTTTTAAAATTAACACATTAGAAAATTTTTTTGAAAAGTAAAGTGAAAAAGGTAGTTGTCTACTAAAATTGTTCTTTGTTGGTCAGAGAAGTTTCATCTGTGAGAAGGTTGTAGATAATAAAATATACTTTACTGTTTGTATTTCACTTTTCTTTCTATCATGCTTAGTTTTGTTAAAATTTTGGGTTGAACAGCGTGACAAAATCTCAGTTTTATGGCACGGCGCGGCGTGCAGCTGGCCGCATGATGTAGTGTAGTATCGCATAGCTAATTAATGTAGGCCTACTGAATTATTTCAAGCAGGTTCATATGCCTTTTGATTATCCTCAAGATTATTACTTTTGTATGAAATATTGGTTTTATATACATTCCCCTAACCAGTATAGAAGTTCAGTTATAACTATAAAAACTTTACCTGTGTGTGGTATCTAGTTTTTCCTTATAATTTCCTGTAATAAGTAAAATTAGTAACAACTTGTAATCAGGGTTCAGTTATATTCGCTGGTTTTTAGTGAAAAATAGTAGCCACTGTAACTGTAGAAAATTTCAATCCTTTCTTGATAATAATAATAATATTATTGATTGTTTTTGAACATTTTTACATTGTATAGTAAACGTCATTATTCTAATAATATTGATAAAACAATAGCCTATATAGAAGAGTTAATTAAATAACAATATAAATAGGATTGAAATTTTAACAAATAATAAATACTAGAGTAAATACGCTGAATAGATGGAAGAAAGCTACAATTCTTAGTTAATAATACTTAAATGTTCAATGCACCATAAAAGGTTTTAATAAATAATTTTCTTGTACTAATCTAGAGGTTAAATACCTTATTGCCAACGTAATCCTTGGTAGACTTAATGGCTACCGGTTTCGACACACTTATGGTGTCATTGTCAAGCCTAGACGTGTTTTTTCGCTCCTAGGAGGTCGTCATAAAGTCTTCAAAAACACATAACGAGAAGAACAAATAACAAAAACGAACACGAACACACATTTTTAACGAATACAGTATGGCCATACAACTCACGGCGCGGCTGCGGGTTCAGGGTGTAGGTCTAGACTGACCGTCGCCGTGTCCTTCCCCTCCCCTCCTATCCTTTGTTGTTATCAGTGCCATTGTCTTCTGATATGTTTTGAATGAATGAGGCTGCTTCGTAAATAATGTTTGATTCAAACGATGTTTTTTCATTGAGGATGTGTTGGGGATGTTTCTTGCCGGCCTTGAATATCTCAAATTCTTCGATTGTATCCAGGAAACTACCTCTTTTTCTATAATAATGTAATACATTGATGGATTTGTCAATAGATGAGACATCGTGGTTATTACTTATCAGATGATCAGCAAATGCAGAATTGGGTTTGTGGATGGATGGTTTTGGTAGGTGATCCTTATACCTAGTTTTGAATGAGCGGGCGGTTTGTCCAATTTAAAAACTAGAGCAGCTGTTGCAATTAAGTTTGTAAACTCCAGATCCTTCCGATTTGTCAGTGGTAGATTTATTCATAGTGCTTCTTAATGCAGATGAGAGTCTATTGTTAGTACTGAACGATACTACAACATTGTTCTTTGACATTTCTTTCTTCAATGTGCTGTTAAAGTATGTCCCAAACTCAGTAGATATATATATTGGTTTGCTTGTTCTCTTATTGGTGTGGATATTTTTATTTTTGTGTTTCTTAATGAGTTTGTCAATAATATTACTATTGTATCCATTGGACACCGCAATGTATTTTAGCGTGTTTACCTCTTCCTTGTAATCTTCTTCGGACAATGGAACTGATAATAATCTATTGACAAAACTGTGGTAAGCGGCTAATTTCTGATTTTGAGGATGGTGTGAAGTGTTATGTATAGTCTGGTTTGTGGTGGTAGGTTTCCGGTATATTCTGAATTTTAGTTTGTTTTCATCAGAGCATTTAAAAATATTTAGGTCCAGAAAATTTTATGATTTGTTGTTTTCAATTTCAAGTGTGAACTTAATATTCCTGTGTATATTGTTTAGGTACGTGCATAACATGCCCAATTGTCTTTTTGTTCCATTAAAAAGGACAATGGTGTCGTCCACATAACGATGATAAAATATTATCTTGTCTTTTAGACGGTTACTATCAGACCACAGATGTTTGTTCTCTAAGTTGTTCAAGTAGATTTCTGCTAAAATACAAGATAAGGGTGATCCCATAGCCAGTCCTTCTTTTTGTAAAAATATTTCGTTTTCAAATTGAAAGTAATTTTGTCTTAGAACTATTTCAGTGAGTTTTATTAGCTCGTCAACAGCTACTTTACTTAATGAGGGGTTTTTCAATAAGTTATCTTTCAGTATAGCAATTGTCTCATTTATTGGTACATTAGTGTACAAATTTACCACGTCGAGTGATGCTAGGATGTATTTATCTTCTATTCTTACATTATTTATTTTGCTAATCAAGTCAACACTGTTTTTCAAACTAAAACTATTTTCCATTTTGAACTCCCTCCTTATTATGTTGTCCAGTTTTTTTGCAATTTTATAAGCCGCTGATGGAATAAAATTTACTAAAGGTCTTATGGGAATGTCTGGTTTATGGATTTTAGGCAGGCCTCTGAAAATAGGAGCTCGTGGATTAGTAACCTTTAAAGTGAATATCTCAGATTTTGATAGGAGCGTTGTACTCGAACTAATTTGTTTATTCATTTCTTTGGAATACTGTATGGTAGGATCGTTGCTCAATTTTCCAATGTCATTAGTTTCAAAGAAGGCATGTACTTTCCTTATATAGTCAAGTTTTGGAAGAATTATTATTGAGTTGCCTTTATCGGCTTTGCAGACTACGGCGTCGTTGTCAGTGATCTTATCTCTAATGCCTGCCGCTACCTGTCTTAGTGACCTGTGGTTGACATGTCTGGAGGTATTGTGTCGATTGTTAACTACATGTCTAGCCTTATTAACAATACTCGCACGTGCCAATACCCTTGCATTCTCATCTTTTATGGTTCTTATGGCAGCCTCAGAGTGTAATATGTCTGATAATATGGATTTGTCCCCTGTTTTAGAAAAATTAAAATTAAGCCCTTTACTCAAAAGGTTCATTTCTTGTTCATTAAAATTTATGTTGGTTTTATTCACTACTGTAGGGTAAAATTTGTGGTTGCATTTGATGATCTCTTTTTGGATTTGATTTTCTGAAAGCTCTTTAATTTTTTTGGTTTGTACCCTTTTTTTGGTAAGAATCTTTTTATTAATCTGGGAGTCTAAATTGTATATAACTTGATTCTGGCTAGGATGTAACGAATCCAACAATTCCAAGTGTGTTCTAAAAAGCAACTTATTAAGCATTTCTTTCTTCGAGTATAAATATTTAATCTCATTTTTTAGCCAGGTTTTTTCTGCAGTTGCTTTAGCTTTCATTGCAGCAAAAGATTGAGTATTTACTCTGACAGAAATGTACTTTGGAATTAGGCCACATTCTAGACATTTTTTTGTTGAATTTAATGTTCTCGTTAGTTTTTAATTTTCTTGTATTAACACAACAGCCTCATATGATAATTTCCTTCTTTTCATACACATTAGTTTTGCCAGATATTAAACATCTAAATTAATAGATTATTTGCCTGCTTGCTCTATCCTCCGTGGTGCGACTGGTACGAGCGTTCAGTGGTGTAGCGTAGTGGTAGCCACTCAGCCATCCCATGCGGTGTTGCCACTTCAAACTCTGCGGCCTTAGTTAAAGGCGGCCGTGAGTATGGGCACCTCAAGTAGAACAACACGCTTTCATTGTAACCACAACATATGTTTCTCACTGGCAGGACAATGCTAGAAGATGTGAAGGAATGTGAGAAGGAGATTGTAGTCCTCTGTTCCCATGTAACCGAGAGACTACTACAGCTGCATGACACAGTCAGATACCGCACGGCCATCCCAACCAACCAAGTCTATGTAATACTTACCTACTAATATGTTATAAGATAGCCAAGCCGCCATAGTAATTTTGTTCTTATAATACCATTAGATAAGAAAAAATTACAGGAAGTATTGCTTTGATATCATCATTATCAGAAAGATTTGGTCAAACTGAAATATTAATTTTAAAATTAAATTATTGCTGTCATATGTTATTAGTTAGATTTTAAGTAAAGAAAATAAGAGTACTCAGTCCTCTTCCTCTATAAGGAATATTTGTCAAACTTGGCATAAATTTTCTTCTGATATTGTACCTTAGGAGAAAAATACATACTATTTCCATCACATGCAACTATGAGAGTTACCAAAAACAAGTATGAACTCTGTTCCAGATATTATATACTTGTGGTCTAAGGGTTCAACACCAATTAAAGTTAATCGGTCGATCAGTGTGGTGACGAAACTCATCATCTATAAGTTTTATTTAATGCATAAACTCACAAAGACATCTGGTTCAGGGTTTGGTTGTATAATTGTTGTAAGAACGTTTCAGAATATAAATTATTATTTAAAATCCATACAACATAATAAAAAGTTCAATCATTAAAAAAAAACAATTCATTATTACAACCTGGATTTATTGTATTGTAAGTTACATATCGTTAATCAAGTTTTTACTGTAGACTCAATACAACTATTTGTATAAAACATATGCTTTTTTCAGCCCCAGTTTATGGACCTATCAATAACATGGTTCAGTCTCCAAGATCAGATGATAGTCCTGAGTACGTACAATCAGATCATTTACGCTCTTCAAAACATGTCAAAGGTGAGTCTTATTCCTAAACTGAGTGGTTAAACACTTTTCAGGAAAAAGCTGAACAATGAATAAAAAAAAAACTCAGATCATTGGACCAGCAGTTAAAACTAATTACTCATTCTATACCATAGTACAAGGGCCGTCAGTAAATTAAGGTCTTCATCGACCTCCCAAGGTATCAAGGTGGTTTAAATCTGAGACCAACGTGTTCTTTTCTTCATCCATTACTAAGCTGGTTCTCTACTGATTAGTATTGGTGTACAGATAGTGGAATTTCTGTTCGAGTCAGACAGCTGAAGCAACTGTTGCTGCGCCTTAACTGTTGCTACTTTGCACGCATGGCAACGCTTTTGGCGCTGCCTACGAATTGACAGGCAAAGCTCTCTCAAAGTACTTAACGCTTTTTACCATGCGGTTGGCATTCTGGGTTATAGTAGTATGTTTTCTGCGACGGAGCTTAATAGCAACACAGCACTCTTAGTCACTGGAAAATGTAATACAAATTTACATTCATTTGGACTTGGTAGTTTATAAATTGAAAATTAACATGTTATTCTTATAGAGAATAATTAAACTGTTGTCGCTTGCTTCTCTATGGAGATATTTTAATGACATTTTGAAATTTTGTTTACTTCATACTAAGCTATCAAGTATCAACATTTCAATAAAAACCCCTCTATTTTCTTCCCTGTAGCAGCAAACTTAAGTACTCATCAAAATAAATGATTTTTAAATAGTAAATAGATCTAAAAATTTTATTTAAGGGAATAATTTAGTGGAATTCCAGCCAGGTAGATGAAAATTTGCTTAGTCTGCATGTTTGCTGCGGCATGAGTATTTTATGTTTTGTTCCAGACTACAGTAGACTCCCTCTTATCCGGACTCCTCGGGACCGAGGCCAGTCCGGATAAAGGTTTTTTCAGTTAAACCGATGTCCCAAAAACTTGTTAAAACGGACTGTTTAAATGCATACTGTATAAGCCAATAATGGTTATTACGTATTTAGATATGTGATCACTGGTCTCAAATCTTTCCCACGAGAACAGTCGTTTCAGTACCGCCCACTTCCTGCCGATCTAGACCGGTTAAACCGATAGCGCATCAATTATGTTATGTTGCAGTAGTATATAGATTATTTATCATGTCAACGGATGACGTTCACTCGGATTAGTAGATAGTATTACCTCCTCTTCGTAACATCAGGGTAATAAAAGTGATCTGGCGCGGGGACGGCGATCTCGTGTGGCGACCTTGTGTAGTCAGGACAGTGGGTTAGCGGGTCCGTTGTGTAATGTCAAGTGCAGTTGCAATGTGGATAGCGGGTTATTAGTTCAAGGTGTGTGCAGTTCAAGGTAACCCAAAACTGCAATTTGGACCAGTTTCCAACATGATCTTCAACATCCTGTTCGAGTTTGATTCGATCACCGAGGGGAAAGAAGCTCTGGCGACGCTAAGACGCCACTTTGAGGTCCTACCATCGAAGATATAAGAAGTGGTAGAAGACGTCACCAGCTATTCACAGGTAAATAAGGTAGTGGAATAAAACACAATTTCTGTTAATATGTGTCTATATTTTGTCTCATTGAAAAATTATAACATTTGGAGAGCAGTTAGTGACGCAGGTACATTTCACCTTGTAATTCCCGTTAGCCAGCGTATCCACATCCAATTGGGACAGAGTTTGTCCAAAGCGTTTTGGTAAATAAAACCATCCTCACAAGGTTGTCCACCTGTACCTCCAAAATAATGCTAATGCCGTATTGAGCATGGCTGTGTAACCGTGCCGCCGTAATTACGAAGCCAGCAGGTTTGGTAAGCTCAGTCATGGCAATCCTAGAGGGTCCCTCGACAACCTCTAGCTTGTTCAGTTTAGCACGGAGATCAGACATGGTTCTGAAACATATAAACCGGTTAGAGTGTGTGCCGCGACTGTGTCACCCGCCGGCTTGCTGCCTTGTGTTTGGAAACCGGGGTTTATTTATCTAGTACTGAACGAACTTTATGAATGCTAAATGAGCTTTGTAGTATTGTCCGAATAAAATTTGATAATATAGAGCAGTTGTTAAAAGATAGTGATGAACAAACGTAGTCAAAGTAAACATGAGAAAATAACAACCTTGTATCCTAAGAAACCAAAACAAGCCTGCGACCTAGATCCAGCACTACGGTAAACTCGCTCTAAACAGACGAATGACGGTAGTAATATTATAAATCTGATAATGTTACAAGGCGTAACTACTCTATATTTTCCCACCGAATGTCAAAACTCCGATACCAGCCAAAACCGTAAAAGTATTTGATGTTAAAAATACTCTGTAACAACTAGGCAGTGAACGGTAATATTCTTTGTAAACCAGATAAACTACTGTATTTTGTCAATGCTATAGTTGATGTCAAAACTCATACAACACATGTAAACCAAGACACACCAATATCCACAGTAATAAAAACGCCGATCCTCAGGGACAAACTGTACTCTAAACTAAACAACTAATCTGTTACAGCTGGAAGAATGTCGGCAGCTATGCGCCACGAATCTTTGATTTGTTACCGCGGCGGAAAGAGACGGACAGAGGGACAGGGCCCGCCTTCAAAAAAACAGTGTACGACGCTCTGCTCTATACTCAATTCCCCCTTTGCTGAAGCCACGCCCAGACACGTCCGAGCCGTCACACACACCACACACCTCTACAGCACCACCACGTATGCCGTCGCCAATTGTGATACCTGACGACGATGATGAATTGACAGAAGAGCTCGACGAATTGATGTCGTCATTATCATCGTCGTCAGGATATAACAGTTTAGACGATAACGATATAATCGATTTATTCAAATAAAAATAAATGTACTGTTGTTTACTGTTATTGTTACTTTCACAACCCAAAAGTAGTGTAGTGTAACTAGAAACCAGAAAACAAGAGGTCTGTAAACCAAATAAAGTTTGGCATGCATCATAAAAGTACAATGGTCAAACTCACAAAACCCATATCGTAAAAATCATGCTTCAGCTTTTTGTTTATAAAAAACGCGTGTATACACAAAACCACGCTGAAACCTACAAATAAAACCGAGCCGCGCAGTAAACATGATAAATACCGTTGACTTACAGACTTATGGCAGTAATTGGAAAAATATAAAGCCTCTTGAGTTACAACCGCCAGCACAATTTGCAAAAGAAAAATACCCAAGCAGACTGTGGCAGTTCACAAAACTACCAACTATCGTTAATTCTCACAAAACCTTTTTTACTTTTAAATAGAAGTGAAATGAATTTAGTAGTTTTACAGACGTAAATTGGAGGCTGAAAGCTACGCATTGCTGTCCAGGGTCGAAATGGCAGCTATAGTTGTAATTAAATTTTTCCAGTCCAAGTACCGGAAATCGCTTATTTACTTAAAACATTTATATGTATTACTAGCTGTACCCGCTGGCTTCGCCCCGTTTAACTTCATAAGTATTCGCATGGCTCATTCACGTCCTGGTTGAAGTTCGTTCGCTGCGCTCACTTGCCTTCAGGTTAGCTCGTTCGCTACGCTAACTCGCCTCCAGGTTGAAGTTCGTTCGCTACGCTCACTCACCTTTTGGTTGGAAATTAGCCGTTGTCAAAAATTAATAGTGCTGCACCCTGTTGGTAATCCTTGTAACTTTTATGCTATTGCACATCATAGAACAGAACCAACTTGTTTAATTGAAACAGCTGTTAAGATTCATTAATTCCTTTTAAATATGAAAAATCATAAGATTAACATGGGGAACTACAGAGCCACTGGGGCGGAGCCCGAAAGGGTTTTTGAGATAAGAATATGCTTTAATGTTAATCGGGAATGTGAGCTATCATCATGCCAAATTTCAACCCAATCCGTCCAGTAGTTTATGCGTGATTGAGCAACAAACACACACACAAACATACACACAAACATACACACAAACTCACAAACTTTCAGATTTATAATATTAGTAAGATAAGATAAGATAAGATTAAATATACAAACAATTATATCCTTAATGAATTGCAATAGACCGCTGCCTAGCAATTATGTAGTAATTATGTATATTTCATGTCATTTAATTAATTATTTAGTATTAAGTTTCTTAAAATCTTAACTTCTATTCATCCTAACAATCACTCCCCAGAGAGGCTGGCCTAATATTCATTTCCCTAATTTATATAATTTCATTAATCTGTTTAATTATTCATTAATAATATTCATTCCATATCCTGTATATTTTTTTTACAAAGCCCACAACTTAGTTAGGCCTATTTATTAAATATGTAAGAGAATTGCAATACATCAAAATTTCTTATAATATCATTTCAAAATTAGTCCTTAAGGAATCAAAATTTAAGAAGCAGTGAAAGTGATCCCATGTGTTTAACAATGAATGATGTGAACATTGAGATTGAAAGAGAAGGAAGCCATTGGAGTAGTTGAAACTGTTTGTTAGAAGGAGTCCAAATTTTATCTAAATCAAATTCATTTATCAAGAAGACCAGTTTATATCAAGTTATATCACAGTAGCCTAAACCTCAAGAGGACTCAACTCCATCATTGTTATTTTCAAAATTAAGTATGAACTTTCTTTTAAACTCTTTTAATTCAGTGCTAATTGGACTTACCTTTTGGACAACACCAAAATTAGATTTTTCACTGTTGGGATTTGTAAGTTTAACACCTTAATTAGGACTATTTGGACACTATTAAATTTATTAATTCTTAGCATTCAAGCCAGCACGACACCCTACCCTGAGATATATCACATCTAAATTATTTGAACCTTTATTCAAATTTATCTTTTATTTCATTTTAATTTCAACCCCACACACCATTGTCAGTCCTATCATTGTAACATCAAGCATTTTCTCATTGCATGTTTGTTCATTTGTTTAAATAAAACACCTTTTGTAATTCATATATCTTTGTTAACTTATTAACTTTAAACATTTATAGAATAGGCCTAGCCTAAATGAATATTGTAAGGTGAGTTTACAAATTTATGTATTACTA